AACAGAAAAGATGAATCATATGGTATTTCTATTTTTAATTTTTTGAGAAATGTCCATACTGTTTTCCACAGTGGCTGCACCAGTTTACACTCCCACCAGCAGTGTACCAGAGTTCCCTTCTCTCCATATCCTCTCCAAACTTGTTTCCTGTCTTGTTAATTATAGCCATTCTGACAGGCGAGGTGGTATCTCATGGTAGTTTTGATTTTCATTTCCTTGATAGTTAATGATGTTGAGCATCTTTTCATATGCCTGTTGGCCATCTGTATATCTTCTTTGGAGAAATGTCTGTTCAGATCTTTTGCCCATTTTTTAATTGGGTTGTTAGTTTTTTTGTTGTTGAGATGTGTAAGTTCTTTGTATATTTTAGGTATTAGCCCCTTATCAGATACAGGGTTTGCAAATGTCTTCTCCCAGTTGTTAGGCTGTCTTTTCACTGTGTTGATGGTTTCCTTTACTGTGCAGAAGCTTTTTAGTTTGATGTAGTCCCATTTGTTTATTTTTTTCTATTGTTTCCCTTTCCCTGTCAGACATGGTACTTGAAAATGTGCTGCTAAGACCAATGTCGAACAGTGTACTGCCTACATTTTCTTCTAGAAGTTTCATGGTTTCAGGTCTTACATTCAAGTCTTTAATCCATTTTGAGTTAATATTTGTGTATGGTGTAAGATAATGGTCTACTTTCATTCTTTTGCATGTGGCTGTCCAGTTTTACCAACACCATTTATTGAAGAGACTTTCCTTCCTCCATTGTATGTTCTTGGCTCCTTTGTCGAAAACTAGCTGTCCACAGATGTGCGGGTTGGGGTTTCTTTTTGAGGTGATGAAAAAGTTTTAAAAACAACTGTGGTGACGATTGCAAATATTGTGCATATGCTAAAAACTACTGAACTGTACACTTTAAATGGGTGAATTGTATGGTATGTGAATTACATCTCAATAAAGTTGTTTAAAAAATAAAAGCTATTGTCATATAACAATAAATTGAATCAGTAATTAAAAATTTTGCCACAGAAAATCCCAGGCCCAAATGGCTTCACTGGTTAATTCACAGGATAGAAAATAAATACACAAAAATCAATTGTATTTATCTATACTAGCAACAAACAATTCAAAAATAAAATCAAGACAATAATTCCATTCACAATAGCATAAAGAAGAATGAAATACTGAGGGAATAAAGCATGAACTATAAAAGAAAGAAATTATAGATTAGACTTTATGAAAACTGAAAACTTTCATAATTCAAAGGATAGCATTAAGAAAACGAAAATATAAGTCACAGACTGAGAGAAAATATTTGCAAATCACATGCTTCTAGAATTTATAAAGAATATTTACAACTTAATAATAAAAAGACAAGTCCATTTAAAGATGAGCAAAAGATTTGAATACACAGTTCATCAAATATAAATAGCTATTAAGCACATGGAAAGATGCTCAACATCATTAATCATTAAGGAAATGCAAACTAAAGCCACAATGAAATACCACCGTGTACCCACTAGAATGGCTGTAATAACAAAGACACTGCCATCTGTGACAACATGGATGAACCTGGAGGGCATTATGCTACTTGAAATAAGCCAGACATGGAAAGACAAATACTGTATGATTACACTTACACGTGGGATCTAAAAAAGTCTAATTCACAAAAGCAAAGAGTAGAATGGTGGTTGCCAGGGGCTGGGGGGTAGGCGAAATGGGGAGACATTAGTCAAAAGATACAAACTTTCAGTTATAAGATGAATAAGTTCTGGGGAACCTAATGAACAGCATGGTAAGTACAGTTAACCATACTGTACTGTATATTTGAAATTTGCTGAGAGTAGATCTTAAGTGTTCTCACCACACACACAGAAAAGGTAACTAACTATGTGAGGTGATGGATGTGTTCATTAGCTTGATTGTAGTAATTTCACAATGCATATGTCTATCAATCATCATGTTATATACCTTAAATATATACAGTTTTTGTCAGTTATACCTCAATAAAGCTGTTAAAAAAAAAAAAAGACAATAAGTGTTGGTGAGGATTTGGAGAAACTGGAACCTTCATCCATTGCTCATGAGTATGTAAAATTGGTACTTTGAGCCACTTGAGCAGTTTGGTAGTTTCTTAAAAAGTTATATATCAACTTAAAAAGTTATATATCAACTTATCAAATGACCCAGCAGATTCTTGGGAATCTACCCAAGAGAAATGAAAATATACATCCATACAATACATGTGTGAGAATATTCTTAGCAACATTATTCATAATGCTTGAGACAATCCAATCAAAAACTTGAAACAATCCAAATGTCCACCAGCTGATGAGTTATGGATAAATAACATGTGGTATATCCATCACAATGGAATACTATTCAGCAGTGAAAAGGAACCAAACTATTGATACTGCTACAACATGGATGGATGAATCTCAAAAGCCTTTGCTAAGTGAAAGAAGCCAGATACAAAAGACTATATACTGTTTGATTTCATTGACATGAAATGTCTGGAAACAGTAAATCTGCAAAGACAGAAAGCAAATTAGTGTTTGGCTGGCTAGGGGCAAGAATGGGGACCAACTGCAAGGAAACATGAGAGAATTTTTTAGGGTGATGGAAATGTTCTCAAACTGGATTCTAAGAGATGGCTGTATAACTCTATGAAATTTACTAAAAACCATGTACACTTATAATGGGTGCATTTTATGGTATGTAAATTATACTTCAATAATACTGTTTAAAAAAATAACTTTTTAAAAACAGCTATTAAACACAATATCCTATATATAATCCCTCCTCGCAATCAGGTCATCTTGTACAATTTAGTTTCTTTCTACCGTAACACTTTGCCATCATACAGTGGCCTCTAGTGGCCAAAAGGAGAGATTTTGATTAATTGATCACTAGTTGCTTTGAGTTTTTATATTTACAATGTATCCTCTATATGAACTAAGTCACAGAAATGGCTATGGTTCCTCAAAAGAGAACGCTTAGCATATAAAGTGTAAAATGTGCCCAGTCAAAGGAAAGCAGATGGGATAAAGAGTAAGAACGAAAGGACATTAAGAGGCAGAAGCGAACTCACTTGCTCCCAATGTAAACTGTTGCTATAACATGAACCTTAAGGATACTTGAAAACACATTACTCATTTAGCTGACGGACCTCCCCCATTCAACCCAGGACCACACTCAAGAAAGACATAAATGGAAGGGCCATCATCACAGGTTTATGCTACATAAATAAAATGCAAGTTAAAGAAGTCACTTGATTCTTTCACCTTTGGAGGGCACCATAGCATAATGACTACAAGAGCATGAGCTTAGAAGTTAGTTTAGAGTCATATCCTAAACTTGCTATGTGACCTTGGGTTTATTATCTGATTCATCAATGCCTCAGGCTTTTTTTTTTTTTTTTTTTTTTTTTAAGATTTTATTTTTCCTTTTTCTCTCCAAAGCCCCCCGGGACATAATTGTGTATTTTTAGTTGTGAGTCCTTCTAGTTGTGGCATGTGGGATGCCACCTCAGCATGGTGCCATGTCCACGCCCAGGATCCAAACCTGCGAAACCCTAGGCCACGAAGCAGAGCACAAGAACTTAACCACTCGGCCACGGGGCCGGCCCCCATTTTTTTCAAATGGAAAAAATATTTTATCTCAAAGCATTGGTGGGAGTATTGCTTAACTCATAGTAAACAGAGAATACACATTAACTATAATTATTGTAATTTCAGTTTAGAAATTGACAATAAATTTTTATTTTAATGATTTTAAGTTCAAAATATTATATATTTATAAGATTCAAATTTACCAAACATTTCTGGAGCATATAGTATGTCTAAAGCACCTTGTTTAAGCTTTATGGAAAAACAGTTGTTGAAACTCTAAACAAACTACTGAAAATGATTAAAGAGATAACTATGCATTAACATTGAGAGATGTTATAATGTACTAAGTAAAAAAGATTACCAAAAAGTAGCAATGCTATAATCCTGTTTTTATAAGTACATGTGTATATTTATATACATTCACAGAAATATATATACATGACTCTAAACCAAAATCAACTGATAGCCATCTCTTAGTAGCGCAATAAAGAATAATTTTACTTATTTTTTCTTCAGTGTATTTTCTAATTTTTGTACCATGAATATTTAATACTACTATTAAAAAAAAGGAAAAGTTGAAGAGACCTTGATCATTAGTAACATCATGCATAGATTGACTCAGATGGCATATAGGCCATTAACATCCTGGATTAGAATTGGAAAGCCAGACCTAGAGGGCACAGAATACACTGTGATCTTCAATTTATGAAGTTATAACATTTATAACTCACTAAACGAAAGAATCTTTACATTAGAATGTTATAATGCTTTAAAGTGCTGCTTCTAATAAATACATGTGTTAATTCACTTACCATTTGGAGTAGTGTTCTAAGAGTAGAAAATTTTAAAAATTACCCTTAACGTTTTTCTGGCACAGTTAGAGGTACATGGGCAGAACAGAAAATTATGCAAAACCTTCTCCTAGTTAGAGATTCCACAGAAAGCACGGTCACTGGCCCATGGGAGATCCGTTTCCTACGACAATAGTGGCAAGACTGAAGCACGACTCTACTCTCAATAAACGACCTGCAGCTGAGTTCAGCACCTCCGGTGAGCCAGGTGTTACTGGAAATGATATCTTAGTCCAACTGGTAGAAATGAAGCCCGCCTAGGAGTCCTGCTGAACAGAGAGTCCTTTTCTCTGTTCCCAATATTATCTTATTAGCTTCTCAGTCATGCAAAAAGGAAATTCTGACATCACTCCTCACTTGTTGGTTAAAGTAGAAAGGGCAGTAGACGTGACAGTGGGAACCACCTTCCCAAGGCTACGTGCTCTTCAATATGCACAGCTGCTGACATTCTACTGCTACAAACACTCAAGAGGCTTGATGATTTGGAAAGGAATAAATGTTAGAACTAAGTTTTCCTTAAACAGTAAGTAAATTAATAAAACTGAAAACTCACCAGAAAACATTTTTACAAAATCCTCAGTAGACATGCTCATCACCACGTCTGCCCGATCAGAGGGCTCTCCATATCCAACATTCCCACCCTGGCTTTTCAGATCAAGAAACCAAGTTCCACCATCTTCACCTACACAAAAGATAAGATATAGAAATAAATGCCAAAGAAGCCTGGTTCTTAAACTTCATAACTGCTCTAATTAGAACAATCTTACATAAGTCTGTTTCCTAAGTTAAAATCCTCAGGCATCTATCAAATTCAGTACTTATAGACGGTCCCCGATTTACAATTTTTCGACTTTACAATGGTGCAAAGTGATACGCATTCAAACTGTGCTTTGAATTCTGATCTTTTCTTGGGCTAGCGATATGCGATGCGATCCTCTCTGGTGATGCGGGGCTGTGGCAGTGAGCCCAGCTCCCAGTCAGCCACGTGATCATGAAGGTAAACAACTGATACACTTACAACCATTCTGTACCCATCCAGCCATTCTGTTTTTCACTTTCAGTACACTATTCAATAAATTGCATGAGATATTCAACACTTTATTATAAAATAAGCTTTTTCGTGTTAGATGATTTTGCCCAACTGTAGGCTAATGTAAGTGTTCTGAGCACATTTAAGGTAAGCTAGTTTCAGCTATGGTGTTTGGTAGGTTAGGTTTATTAAATACATTTTCGACTTATGATATTCTCAACTTACAATGGGTTTATCAGTATGTAACCCCATCATAAGTCGAGGAAGATGTGTGTTATGTGCCAGGCACTAGGCTAGGCTCTGAAGACTCTGCAATAACATGGTTCTTACAAACGAGGAAGTGGAAGGTAATGTGCAGTCAGACAAGCCCAGCTGAAGCTGAAATTTAAAAGTTAAGTACGAATTAGCTAGATGAGGAACTGAAAAAAGTACAGTAAGACTAGAAGGTAGGAAGAGAGTGGATAGTGGCATTAGATGAGCTCGTGAAGCAGCCCAGATGTGGAGCATAGTGAGCCACGTAAAGGATTCACTGACTTCACCCTAAGGAATGTGCCATGAAGGAGAATGACATAAGGTTTGTATTTTAAATACATTGCCCCAACAACAGTGTAGAGAACATATTGGAGGGGAATAAACAGGATGCAGAAGACGAGGTAGGATGGTGTTGGGGTAGTTGAGGAGCTGGAGGATATGTGCCTGGATCAGGATGGCAGCAGTGAGAATGGACGACAGAAGGCATATCTGAGAGATCATTTCAAAGCAGAACCACAAGATGAGACAACTGATTGAATATGTTGAGAAAAAGGTAGGGAAGGTCTGTAAGAATGATTTGCTAGTTTTGGGCTTGGGAAACTGGGTAAATATTGGTGTATTTTTTACTGAGAGAGGACTACTGAAGGAGAGCAGATTTAATAGGTAGTGCCAAAGGCAGGTATTGGGAATGGTGAGCTGTTTGGGACATTTTCAGACTGAGGCATCTCTGTGGCAGCGAACTGAAAATGTCAAATGAAGTCTGACTAGGATAGAAATAGAGATACATTAGTAATCAGTTCCTGTAGTCATTGAAGCCGTGTGAGTGGTTGAGGTGCCCTGGAGAAGGTGTGTAAAATATTAAGAGTGCTAAGACAGTGACCTGAAGAACAGCAACATTTAGGGAAGGATAGAGGAGAAGCACCAGGCACAAGAGACTGACAAGGCATGATTACAGCTAGAGAAGGAAGCAAGAAGAGCTACCGTCAAGGAAGCCAAGGAAAGAGAGCATTTCCAGAAGGAAAGAGTGGTCAACAGCATCAAATGTTATGCAGTGGTGATAAGGTAAGAATGACAAATGCCCACTGGTGTTATAGAAGTCACTGAGGAGGTGAGAGCAAATTCACTGGAGTGGAGAAAAATGATACCAGAGCAGAGCAAACTGTAGATGAAAATAAGTTTGGCTCTAACAGGGAGAAGAAAGACGGAGGTGCAGATGGGGGGTTGTTGTTGTGTTCTGTTTTAAAGATAGACTAGACTTTGAGAATGTTAAAATACCACTGGGAAGGAGGCTGCAGAATGAACAGGTGGAAGAAAGGGCATCATAAATAGTACAAAGTCCCAGAGGAGGCCAGAGGAAATGGGATCTAGAGCGCTGCTGCTCAAAGTGTGATCCATGGTTGCAGTACTGTCATCACCTGTCAGAAACGCAGACTTCAGACCTACTGAATCAGAGTCTGCATTTTAGCACGATCCCAGGTGACCAGTATGGACATTAAAGAATTGAGATGCACAGTTCTAGAGTTGGCTCCATTCATCTGGGAGGAGAGGAAGAGAGGATGATGCTTACAATGGTTGATTTGATATGAGACGGCAGGAAGCTGAAGCAATTTGTCTGTCAGCTTCTATTATCTCTGTGAAAGAGGAGGTGGGATTATCTGCTGAAACTGGCTGGGAAGTGGTGAAGGGAGAGATGGGAGATTTGAGGAACACTGAAAAACTTTAAACTAGTTGCCGTAGGGAATGAGGCAGTCAGTAAGCTGACCACAGAAATATAGAATTCAGAGGTGCTGCTTAAAACCCAGTTGAAGAAGGACAATAACGAATTTCTACTGGTACAGATCCACTGGCTGGTGTGACGATTTTTCTTTTCATTTCTCCAGCAAGGCTTAGCAGACTGGATGCAACTGTGGGACAGCCAGATAGTCTGACTCATCCAGGACTAGGGTTTTGACAGGTGGTGACATAAGCACAAAGGGTCCAGGAAGTTTAGGATACAGGCGAGAGAGTGACTGAAGCAATGGACCATGGGTTCTAACCATAGAAAAGGAAATAAAAACAGGAACGTGCAGAAGGATTCAGATCAAACAGAGGAGACAAAGAAGAAAAGAACTGACACTGGCGAAGTCTGCATACAATGGGACTGAGGTAGTAGTTCTTAAACTATCATTAATGTGTTAATACTATATTGAGAAGAAAAATATTAACAGAGGGTTTCAAAAGCTGACCACATTCAGACTGAGTTAAATAATCTCAAAGATAAAAATGGCAAAGTGCTCATGGTTGATGATAAATTACTCTATTACCCTGTCAAGATCCATATGCCCTTCTAAATATGATTTTCTCTCCATTATAGATGCCAAGGAGTCATTTAACATTGGAAGTATCTGCAATGAAATTTTATTTTACATGCGCCCATAGGCACTGATCTTAAAAATACAAATCAGTAGTCATTTGCTATTCTTGAATGTCTACATTCTAGGGTAAGGGTTCCAGAAACAGCCAACTATCAAGATGATCACTACTGGAGGCTGATTTTCATCCAAGGGAAATATGCTACTTTGTTTCATAAAAGCCCCAGATTACTAGACGTAATCCTTACCTGAGAGTTCAAACTGATAGATTGCTTGAGTGGCTTTAACCACATCGTCACTGAGAGAGTCCTTAACAATTCTAAATGTTTCTTCCACAGCTCCAGATCGTGGTTTTGGTGGCGGCTGTGACTTCTCTTCTCTCAGTTCTGGAGGAGGACCTGTAAAATATTACTGACGTCAATGGCTTTAAAGCCTAGGCAATGTAAGGCCACACACGGAATTAATTAACTAGGAGAACAGACTTGCTACCAATTAGACCTGTTTGACCAAAATGAGGGCTTAAATGCACTCAGTGGCATCTAACAGCATAAATCAAACTGATGGAATGACAGCCAAACACATCAGTTGTGATTATAAATACAAACGGTTTATACTCTCCAAGTAAAAGGCTCTCAGATTAGGTTAAAAAAAAAACCCACTAGGGGCTGGCCCCGTGGCCAAGTGGTTAAGTTTGCGTGCTCCACTGCAGGCAGCCCAGTGTTTCGTTGGTTCGAATCCTGGGCGCAGACATGGCACTGCTCATCAAACCACGCTGAGGCAGCGTCCCACACGCCACAACTAGAAGAACCCACAACAAAGAATATACAACACAACGAAGAATATACAACTATGTACCGCAGGGCTTTTGGGAGAAAAAGGTAAAAATAAAATCTTAAAGAAAAAAATCCACTAAAAAACTATATAGTGTCTATAATAAACGGACCTAAAGAAATTATTGGAGTTTCAGGGGTAATAGTCAATCACTCCTTTATTATTCCCTCTGAGGTGTTTTGTTTTTTTTTTTCCAGTGAGGAAGATTGGCCCTGAGCTAACATCTATGCCAATCTTCCTTTACTGTTTATGTGGGATGCCACCACAGCACGGCTTCATGAGCAGTGTGTAGATCCATGCCCAGGATCCAAACCTGTGAACCCCAGGCTGCCAAAGCAGAGCATGTGTGAACTTAACCACTATGCCACTGGGCTGGCCAACCCCTCTGAGTTTTAAAACCAGATGAGAAAAGAGGACACTAGAGTCAGAAAGATGGAGATCAGAATATCAACTGTGCCAATTAGTGAAGGCTGGCCCTGGTGGTCTGGTGGTTAAGATTCAGTGCTCCCACTGCTGTGGCCTGGGTTCATTTCCAGCATTTCTGGTCAAGGAACCACACCACCGGACTGTTGATTGTCACACTGTGATGGCTGCCTGTTGCTGTGATGCTGAAAGCTATGCCACCGATATTTCAAATAGCAGCACAGTCACTCATGGTGGACAGGTTTCAGCAGAGCTTCCAGACTAAGACAGATGGACAAGAAGAAGGACTTGGCCACGCACTTCCGAAAAAATTGGCCATGAAAATCCTATGAATAGCAGCAGAGCAGTGTCTGATATAGTGCTGGAAGGTGAGAGGATGGCACAAAAAGAACAGGCAGGGTTCCGCTGTGCTGTCCACAGGGTCACCAGGAGTCGGAATCGACTCGACGACACTAACAACAACAAACTGGTGGAGCTGAATTGGAGACTGTAGCTTAAATCAACAGCCAAGTGAACTCCCACTAACTTCACCTCTAAATTAAACTTATTCACCCGGTCCCTTCACCCCTGGATTGAACTGGCCTCCTCCCCATCAGGGGATCGAAATGCCTCTGTAAGTAAAGATCAGGTGAAAACTGAGGACAGAATGCCCAGAAAGGGTCTAAACCACACAAAGTCCTTCCTTCTCCGACTCTCAGTCAGATTGGTCCCCCCGACTAGAGGCAGAGGGAGGTCAGATTATTGGATTCATGAAGGCCCCCCTGCCTAGAAACACAAGGCCAGGGGAATGGAGGTTACATTTTTTAACTTGTATCCACTTAACTCATTGGCCATAACCATTCAGCATAGGATGAGCCAGGGGAGAAGACGGGCAGTGCATAGAACGGTTCGACTCCCACGGCATGCAGCCGGCCCCTCTCCCAACCTCTGCTCCTTTACTTAGCCTCCTGGAATCACCTGTGGGCCGTTTCATGGTCGCCCGCAGAAACAGGGGAGGACAATTCATTCATTAAATTAATTCCAAGGCCAATCTGTACTCCAGGCTGAAAATTAACTCTCCATCTATCTCCCAACTCAATTATACCCAGTTGATATCGACCCTGATATCAGTTTCCCTACATTAAACCCAGCATATATGGGGTTAAAACCAAAACACTCATTCCCTGCTTATTCTCTGGCTTCCTGGCTCCAGAATCCACTATCCTCCATGGAGACAGACACCGTCAAGGACAAGCACCTGGACTATCTCCTCCCCACAAAGAGATACAGACTGGTGGGAAAGCTGCTGACCAGCAAGGTCACAGGCTCCCTCCTCTCTGCAAGTGTCTCAAGGCCGAAGACAGGCTGGTGGGAAAGCTCCAACCAGCAAGGCCATACGCTCCCCCTCCCCTACCTAAAACCCCAAATAAAAACCAGTCCTTTTAGCTTTTCGGGGAGTTTGGGATTTCAGCGTTAGCTGCCCTCTCTCCTTGCTCCGCGCTGTGCAAAAAATAAAGTTCCTACTTTCCTCCACCACCCCCGGTGTCAGAGATTGGCTTGCTGCGCAACGGGTGAGCGAACTCACTTCAGGTTCGGTAACACAGTCATCGTGTCCAACATAATTCACCAAAGGTTATTAAATGAAATCTAACTGACAGCATAAAGACACTTCAGAATACAACATAAGCAATATAAAAGTATCCCAAATTTGTTAAATATGAATTACCTTCCACTACGATGTTTCCAGAGACACATAAAAACAACAGTAAAATCCTTCTCTTATAAAGTCCAAGCAGATATTAAGGATGATATCCTTAAGATCCAATGGAGCAAGGATAATCCCTTTCCATAAAAATGTTTAGTCAGTTTTGTTATTGTTTTTAAATTCACTACAGAGAGTGCACCCCTTTATTGCCTGCACCCAGGGCAAATAACTCTGACCGCCTTGCCCTTGACACAGCGCTTTTTTTTTTTTAAGATTTTATTTTTCCTTTTTCTCCCCAAAGCCCTTTGGTACATAGTTGTGTATTTTCAGTTGTGGGTCCTTCCAGTTGTGGCATGTGGGACACTGCCTCAGCATGGCCTGATGAGTAGTGCCATGTCCGTGCCCAGGATCCGAACCAGCGAAACCCTGGGCCACCGAAACAGAGCACGCAAACTTAACCACTTGGCCATGGGGCCGGCCCCACAGCACTGTTTTTTATTGATGTATAACATACATAAACAGTGATTTTAAGTACACAACTCAAAAAGTTACCAGAAAGCGAATACACTGTGTCATCAACTAGGTCAAGAAAGAGAACATTACAAGTACCCCAGAAACCCATTCCATACGGCCTCTCCTAATTGCTACTCCCCCTCTACTACCTAAAGAAACTATCCTGACACCTAACACCACGGATTAGTTTTGCCTCATTTTTACCTCCATATAAACGGAATCAATCATTTAAGTTTCTGTTCTTTTATGCCTGTCAATCCTTCATCAACTTTTCCAAAAAATGCAAGAAAAGGGAAAACTTTTTTTTTCTTTTTTCTCTTTTTTATTTTTTTGAGGAATATTAGCCCTCAGCTAACATCTGCAGCCAATCCTCCTCTTTTTGCTGAGGAAGCCTGGCCCTGAGCTAACATCCATGCCCATCTTCCTCTACTTTATATGTGGGATGCCTACCACAGCATGGCTTGCCAAGTGGTGCCATGTCCACACCCGGGATCCGACCCGGCGAACCCCGGGCCACCGAAGCGGAACATGCACACTTAACTGCTGCGCCCCCAGGCTGGCTTGAAAAGGGAAAACTTCTTAATTCATTCTTTGAGGCCATCATTAGCCTGATACTAAACCAGACAACGACACCACAAGAAACCCGTGTAGTGTAGACAGACAATATGCAAATACATACATACCAAAAAATTAAGTCAAGAATTGATGAGTTCTATTACCAAAAACAAGCAAGAAGTGGAAAAGGATGGGAGACTACCTTATACAGTGGTCAGTTTGAATAGACACTGAATTAAACAATATAAGGCGGAATATGTGAATACACACACACATACATTTATCCTACAATCTGAAAACATGACATTTTGTCAATAGTTCCTGGTATATTTTCACCCATTAAATTTGAAAAAGGTGCCCTCCCATAATAATACCTAATGCTCTATAATCTTTGTCATGCCTGTGTTGAGCAATGCTACTTCCCAGCATATCCTTGAAAATAAATTATTTCCCAAGTGTACACCAATGTAAGTGAATAGGGCATGATGTTATATTACTATTATTATTATATTATTATTTAGAGGCTGGCCCCATGGCAGAGTGGTTAAGTTTGCACACTCCACTTCGGCGGCCCAGGGTTTTGCCAGTTCGGATGCTGGGTGTGGACATGGAACTGCTCATCAGGCCATGCTGAGGCAGCGTCCCACATGGCAAGGCCAGAGGCACTCACAACTAGAACATACAACTATGTACTGGGGGGATTTGGGGAGAAGAACAAAAAACAAAAGTTTGGCAACAGATGTTAGCTCAGGTGCCAATCTTTAAGAGAAAAGAAAAAAAAGATATTATTTAGAAGCCCATTTAAAAATTCAGATATGTATTCTAATATTTAATGCTGATAGTGCAGTGAGGGAGGTGCTCATACACTGCTAGTAGGTTTATAATACTAGAAGGAAATTTCGTAACATGTATCAGGGGCCTTCCCATTGCCTCATCATCTACTTTTAGTGATCAATTTTAAGAAAATCCTGTAACATTTATAAAATGAAACACTTACAAACAACTAAAACAAAATACCATTCACATGATAGTATATAATACTAAGTTGCCATTTCAAAACTTTGTTTCTGAAGACATGGAAAATATTCACAATATAATGTTAAGTAAAAAGGGAGTCTATATAATTAAATATAATATGATCCAATCTGGTAAAATATATGTTTGTGCATCTGAATTTTAATTATATTTGAAAAAAAAAGTGAGGGGCCAGCCCTGTGGCCAAGCGGTTAAGTTTGAGTGCTACGCTTTTTTATACTATTTTTTTCTGTACAAACTAATTTAAAATGATATCAAAATTAATGAAAGTACATAACAAAATCTATTTGATGTGGTCAAAGTTATACTAAGGGGAGAAATAATGCACAATCAAAAGTTATTTTATTTTAAAAGGAA